GTTTGCATGGGACGCTTAAATATGCACACCAATGGCTTTGTTGTAACATTACCAATGTTCTCTGTTGGAACCTTCGACTATAACGTAACGCAAGCTAATAAACCAACCGTTGACAAAGGCGAGCGCGTGTCATGCGTATCTATGAATTACCCTTGCGCGGACATGTGAATTGGACCTGCGCGAACATGTGAATTGGACCTGCACGAACATGTTAATAGCCTCTATGAAAGGCTGGCTTAATCCGAGGTCCTTTTAACTCGCCGATTGGAAGCAGTCTTGTTGGAGCGCGGAAACCTTCTCTCCGTGGCAAAAGTCCCTCGGCAGCAAATCGTCCCTCGCGGCGGCATATTACTAGCGTCGCTCAGAGAAAAAATTACGCCCACGCCCAACAAGACTGCGAAGGAGGCTAAGGTAGAATGAGCTTTCCTGTGAAGAAAGAAAAATATTATGGGCTGCTTCAAAAGGTACATAATGATTGGCCAGTTTCCGACCAATCAGGAATTGGCTTGCAGTATTTTGAACCAAAACATAGACTCCACTATGGTCTAAAATAAGGGGTTGTACTTGTAGATAACAGAATTCTGCAAAAATTGGGAGAATAATTGGCCTGGAGAGTGAGAATGCAGTAAGGTAACAATTTCCCTATTAATAGCAGACAAATAAAACTCTACAGAGGCCAAACTCATCTAGCAAACTATTCTCCTTATTTGGCTGACTAGTACTCTTGAAAATGAATGGAAAGTTAGTATTTCACAACCTTATACTTTCATCTAATGGTTACCCCATTTAAGTAATGCTTTAATACAAGACATGTCTCTATTTTCATCACATATACAGGGCTGAAAATGACAGCTATAAGCTATCTCTAGTCCACAGTCTATAGAACATCCTGTGGTGTTGAAAGGAGCCAACAAGGATGTTTTGAACACACAATGATATTCTTTTGGAACGTTACCATACGAACATCACTGCTCACAATGCCTTCATGAATTGACATACCAGACTTGAGCCTTTTTATCCACGATAATCCACGAGTATAGGCCACACAATAACTTGTTGAGCTGTTAATAGCTGCAAAGCTATCTCTTTGAGTCAGTGTATGCTTTTCTTTTCCTTTCTATTTTTATCAAATTGTTTGACACATTTTCCATCTGTGGTCAGTTTGGAAAGTCTGTACAATAGCACCATAGGTGACCAGAAATATTTCCAAATTCATGTTTACATCATACATTTGTTTGCTGAATATAATAGGGATATGTTCTATAGATAGAGCCTAGAATAAAGGTCTTAAGAGAAGTGCTGTTTTGTATATTCTAATAGAAAGACACAGCGTACCAAAGCAAATATTGAATCGAGATATAGTCATGAATACGGCTACGGCCACACCGCTCTAAAGCCATCAATTTATTAAACTTGCCTATTCACTTCTCTTTGTGTCGGCTCTGTTTTGTCACCTCCATTATTGTGAAACTCAAAACAATTCCCCTTTGAAAACAAACAAAGGGAACAGTAGAAGTTGTAAATAGCCGCCCTTCCCTTGTGTGTTTATACACCATGGTTTTACACTATTGTAGTGTACGCAGGTACACAGTGTGGCTTCAGCTGCCTTTGTGTGCTAGGTGTATGCAAGTCAATTGATCTGGCAATCTGGTATCGCAGCCTCCCCAGCCGAGGCCGCACTAATCTGCCATGGATGTTTCCCCATGTAACAACACTTGCTCAAGTAACTAATAATTTCACGCACACTCTCCTGTCACCCTCGGTGTAATGACTCATAAAATAAAAATTGATGAGACGTGGTTACCGGCTCTCGCAGGGGCGTTTTGCCCTCCCTAGGCGGGTTCTCCCAATATCGCTGGAGTGGGCCTGCCCATAACGAGCTACCAAAGGAGACTGCGGAAAGATGGATTGGATTTCTTTCTGCGCCGAAGACGTGATAATCTGCGGGAATGAAAAAACGGCGATGAGTACCGTTTTTATCGCTGTTGCCAAAAATTGAATGCTGATGAAAAGGGGAGAACGTTAGGATTACAGGCACACAGATGCCGATTTCCACCCGCCATCTGTGGAAATGAAATGATTAAATTGTGGGATGGAAAATTGAATAGTGGAAAACTGCAACAATTTCCTCGTCTTCCCTGCCCGCTTTTATTCCCAATTGACACCAAACTGCTTGCCGGGGAGGAACATACATGATTAGATCACTGATGGCTGACAATCACTTTTCTATTTCATCCGCGGGAATGATCGTTACAATTTGTTATCCACCTACCTGGGAGGAAAATGAAACCAGGATGGAAGTAGGGGTGCTTGAGGATACAATCTTGCCGGGAACCTTTCCTTTGTGAGTCCCAGAATACAAAATCTCTCCCACCTGTCTGGTCCACATAACCAGGAGTACAAACTACAATAGTCCTGGCACGGTGAGAGCTCTCACTGACTATTTCAACTACTATCATCACTCTATGTACAGCGCCTTGCTGGGGCTAGTTACAGGAGAAAACCTTTACTTTTCACCATTGCCAGCTGACGATACTACTAGTAGCAGTACCCAGAGGAAAGCTGAGAAAATAGAAAGCTTGACAAAACACCTAAAAAGTAATCTCCGACCAGATCTTTTGGTGGCCGCAAAGACAGTATCAAATTAGCCAGGCAGCATCCACCATACCAAAAAGTTGCACAAGGCCTATTTCTTTTACTAATTGTTGATCTAACCTAAATCTGACTCTATATGCAAGAAAACAGTCATATAACTAATAGAAAACTTGATAGCATAGAAGAAACAAATTTTGTTGCATTCGGCCTCTTACTTGTGCTGTTATCATTAAAGCAAGATGAAAGATTCGCAAAAATGGTAGGTCACAAGAAATGGCTACAAATTAGTATTATTAGACAAGATATCACATGACTTAGGGAATATAGGAGATATTACGATAACTTCTAAAAAACAACCACATTGGGCATTATGCTAATCTCCAAGCAGATCTTTTGGTGGTTGCAAGACAGTATCATTGGTAGGCATGCCCGTAGCCAGGGGGGGTTCGGGGGGTTCGGAAGAACCCCCCCACAAGGCTCAAAGGTCCACTTTTTGGTCCACTTTTTATGTAAAGGTCCACTTTTTGGTCCACATTTTATGTAAAGGTCCACTTTTTGGTCCACATTTTATGTAGAAAAACTGTTCCCTTTGTCATTGAATAAAAATCTATCTCTGATTTTTTCTTGGAAATCCTCTTGAAAATGCACGAAATGCCATTTTAGAAGGTTCATTTTTCAAAATTTTCCGGGGGAGCATGCCCCCGGACCCCCCTAGGAACCTCGCGCCTACGGCGCTCGAGGTCCCCTCAAGCAGTGGGAAGAACCCCCCCATTCAAAATCCTGGCTACGGGCATGGTAGGGCAGTACCCAATTTGCCATCCAAAGATGCGCTGGCGAAAAAAAGATACCAGCACAGAGAAGAAGCCTGATACAGTCATCCAAAATAAGCCAAAACCTAAACCTCTGCTTGGAGAGTAGCATTATGCTTCCTCACAAAAGGAAAGTACAAAGAGACAGACATTACCTCACGCTAGCCTTTACTTGACAGCACATGGCCACTTCCTGCCCTGTCCCTGTCTCAACTGGTCAAGCCTGGGGCAATGAAAACAATGGTGTGTTTGATACAGAACGTAGCTGTCATAAATGATTGATGGGTAAGGATTCAAATAATTATACATCATTCTTCTCTGTAAGCTTTCACATTTTTTTTATTTTAGCCAGTGTGTTCTAACTATCATATTAATATTGTTCTATGAAATAAATTAAGTTACGGACATAACTATATATAACTAACTATCTGTTGATTTACAATGAAAATGCCAAACTGCGGCCATACTTAGGTCACAACCAATCAATTTCTTGGTTATGATATTTGAGTTTCTTTTCATGGATTATAAAAACGATAATAAACACTCGTAAGATCATGTGATGTTTGTCCATTGTTGTACCATTCAGGATATGAATCAACCCATAAATCATTATTAAATGATTATATTTTTGCACCAACAATTAAAGAAAGTCCTTGTTGTTACAATTCTTTTATTCATCAATGCATTAAAAGTTAAATATTTATTGTTTGATGAATTAACCTGGGTGGTATGATGATGATACTGCAGCAATGGATCCTCACACTCACAGGATGTTTCTTTCAGGATGCCCACTTCACTTTTTTCCTGAAAAAATCTGACATCCCATAGATTAAATTGGTGTGCCCTATCATACCATTTAGCTAATCATACCATTTAGCTAATACATCATTTCTAGGTACTTTGTCCAGAACTGCAAAAAATGGCAGATAAAATTAAAAACGGCTTCCATTTACTCTGATTTCACTTGGAAAAGTTTTCACAAGCGAGATATGAATGATCATTGACATGGAGAAATACCACTTTGGGGCTGGAAGTTAATCTCATTATCTGTATCACCACAAGACAAAGGCAGCAGGGATTCACCGAAACAAAAGCCAGTAAATATGGTTTGTTGAAGATAACAATACCACAGGAAAGTTAATCTGCGGTGTCGTTTTGTCGAACAAAGCATCTTCACCCTGAGGGAAATGTGGGATAAACAATTGACTTAGAGGAGATGCTGAGTATGTCTTATGGGTGTATTATCATTAGTGATGAGGAAAGATCAGTTGTTTCTAATCCTGTAAAGTTTATACTGTCTTCCAACTGACATCACTCAAGTTTGAATATGAACTTGAAATGCATGACAGAGTTTTTAAAATGTCCTGTCATTCATAGGATACCTATATGACTGACTGGTACTCAGGTACTGTATTTTTTTACATTTCCCTATAATGTCTGTAGAGTCTGAATGTTAAACTTTAAACTTATCAAGGTATCAACATAGTTAATGGACTTGTGTGAATTGAAATAAAGATACTTTCAAAATTCTTATAAAAAAACAAACAAAAACAATTGGCTGTTTCAAAATACCCACAACCGAAATTTATGAATATACGATACTGGTATCCGTGGGTTATAGTATTGGGTGGTACGCACTACGATTTAATGATAAACATTTTGCCTCATAGCCACATAGTATACATTGTAATCGCAGTCAACACACAAATCATGCAGGTATGTAAATAAAAGAAACCAAGGTGCCGTTGATATGCATAGTAGTGCGGTTTCCCATTTCTAAAGAATGTTTGTAATTCCTAATGACATCAATAACATTGTTATAGAAGCAAAGAGCAGTGTACAGATTCAGAATAACAATTCTAATGAAATTTGTGGAATTTCTGAGAAAATTGTCATTCAATAATCATTGCCGCACAGCTTGCTGTATGGCTACCCGGTCGTAATGTTATCATACACTGCATGAATCAAGAGCACGGGATTCTATTCAGTCTTTCCCAGAAAATATTACAATCGCACATACTTTGTGGCAAGTTTGGAGACTTAAAAGTAACATAATCTTCCAACCATGCATGGTTGGGCTTTTTGAAACTGCAAGTAATACATGTATAGTAAGATAGCGTGGCGGTGGCTTGTAAGCAAGCCTTCATCCCCTTCCCTACAAAACTGTCATCCCTCTGAAAAACCATTATGTTTATCAGACAGGTGCATTTGAAGTGCTTTTCAGAGTCTGGAATTAATTCTTTTCACTGGTGGACCTAAATCTGGCCTGTGTGTGCTACCGTGAAGAAAAAATATTGGCCCTTTTGTATGTGTCATTCAAAAGTGACAAAGCCTGTCCTAACCCTGAACAATGGTGAACACTTCACCTCTTTCAGTCAGGGTTGCCTGTTTAGGTGCCCCTAACGATAACACACTCTGGGCCAGGAAATTAAAACTCATGCCCCGCTGATAGTAATGCCTAATAAAACTGATAAAGTCTGAAAGCACCTGGCATGCGGGGCAGGTAAGAAATATAGCAGGGGTATAAAACATTCTCCTGTTTGACACCCCGTGTAAAGGGGAATAAAGTGCCCATCTTTTGGTTGTCAGGACGCCATTCTTGCGCTAAGACAAGTCCAGCATCCATCAAGAATGGAGGAAATTGAAAATCCCGCTGTGAGGTGATAGTGTTTGTGGGATGCGATTGAAGGAGTGGAAAACCATGCTTCAGACTGCCGACCCCGTGCCCGCTGATATTGTTTCCGTATCACCTTTATCGCAGTTGGCGCTGAAAACCCGGGTAACGGCGTTTCAATGTTGTCAACCAAAGTTAACCCACCACCACACGGGCACACACAAACCACCCTTTATCTCCCTCCCTCATTCATCCACTGAATCGATCCAACTTCTGCGGGACAACAACCGCTGTTAGTAGACAGGCCATTACTGAGATAAGGAGGGAAATTTTTGATAGAGGTGACCATTGTTTCTCTCTCATTTTACCCCCCAGAATTGATAACCTTTACTCTTCAGCAAAGAATCGCATAGAGCCAGAGCAAACAAACCGTTTATGGTATAGCTTACGGAAGTCAAGAGAGGTTAGAAATGAAAGAGCTCATTTTCCACGAAGTTGGGATGTCGTTGGTTAGTATTTTAGGACCAGCTGCTTTGAGTTTTGATTGATATCATGCAGACTGAGAAAAATATGTCACTCAGCTTCCAAAATTTCAGCACATCATGATGCGGTGCTTTCTCCGAATTCTCGTCAGAAATATCTGAGCTAAAAACCATCGAAAATTACACACTGGCTTCTCACAGAAACACGCAACTATTACCACCGCTGTCCTTGGGCTATATGTAGCGGATAATGAGCAAAACTTTCGGAACCTGAGCAAAACATGGTGATATATTTCCCAAAAACTTGACGGTCCAAAAATCCGTATCTTCACCTTGAAGAGGTCGCCATTTTGAGCTTTAATCGTCTGCACCAATGAGAGGAAGGATTACATTTCACAATTCAGACCGTACCAATGAGCGAGCAGTATATATTTCTGGCGGGAGTAACTTAGTCTTCGAATTTCAGCCAATCACGAATGGTCTTGTAAAACTTTAGGAGCTGGTGATGTCGAGTTTGTTTGAGGATATATGATTGGTTGCCAAGAAGGAACTCGTGACGTCAGTAGATTCAAAAGGCCAGTGTGCGCATGGGCGGAAGCAAGCCAGCTCTTTGAACTTTGCCGCCTGTTGTTGTGTGGCAAGTTAGCGCAGTTTGTTGAATTAGTAGACGGCGAGAGGTAGCACTTGCGACTGGCTAGGCCTGCGGCGTGTGTCACCCCGTATTCTTCGAGCCATCACGATAGTTTCTGCCGACAAACTGATCTCGGATCAGTGCAAGCGATCACCACGGACTCCCCACGCCAATTACCGCAACATTTCAACGGGGCAACCACGCTGCAGCGCCCGGACGACATGGCCAAACCCAGCGACCACGTCAAGCGGCCGATGAACGCCTTCATGGTGTGGTCACGCGGACAGCGCCGGAAAATGGCCCAGGAAAACCCCAAGATGCACAACTCGGAGATCAGCAAGCGTCTTGGAGCCGAGTGGAAACTTCTGACAGAAGATCAGAAGCGGCCCTTCATCGACGAAGCCAAGCGGCTACGTGCCCTACACATGAAGGAACACCCCGACTACAAGTACCGGCCCAGACGAAAACCCAAGAACTTGCTGAAAAACAAGGACAGGTACGCCTTTCCCATACCATGTATCCCCCTCTGCCGACGACCCTATGATGCGGTCCATGGCCGGTGCTGTCACCACACAGGGAACAGGCTTTCCTACCGGACTGTCTATCGACAAAATGCGGGCCTTCTTTCCGCCTACAACATCGCCATACCTAGACGGGGGCTCTCCATTGGGCTCGACCAGTTACTCGAAGGCGGACCTGCTGACCCAGAGCATGCGGGAACAGATCTCCGCCAGCGCCAGTCTCTACTCCTCTGCCATGTACCCATCGGCCGGCAGCGCCTTCTGCACGGCCCAGCCCCACACACACACGCACACCGCGCCTGGACTTCACGGCCAACAGTACGTCGTACCGTGCAACTGTTGGTCGCCGGCGGCGCAAGACTTGCGGCGGCCCGTAGCCTACCTCCTGGTCAAGCCGGACATGGAGCACTACACCGGCACGGGGCACCCACAAGCGACACCTGCCATGTAAAACATCACCAGGACCTGAGCCATGTTAGCACCACTTGGACGACGACGCGGACAAGTTGAACATGCCCGTGGCAAAATGTATAGACATTAAAAAGAAGAAGATACCGTAGACGAACTTTGTAACTAACAACTTGAGTCATGAGGACGCGTCTTCAAAGAAAGACAGTCAGAGCTCGACTCCAAATGGACGGTGAGGTTATAGACATAGGTGTATTTAGGACACTTGGATTCCTCCAGCGAGTCTGGTTGGAAAAGGAAAAAGACTTCTTTCTTGGACTTTCAGATATAATTTGCTTTTTGGGATGCGATGTTGTCATTTTCTACTGCTACCTGCAACATAGAGGGTTGGCACGAGTGCTCATATTTCTATGTGAGTAACGATTTCATATGGTTCTTCTTTCCTTCCTACTCCTTTTTGGATTGTAATTTTATTCTGAGCTTATAAAGATTTTTTTTGTACAAGACGACTGAGGAACGGAGCTCTAGACGGGTTCGTTTGTGTTCCTCTTATTATTGTGGACAAGGGGAAAACCGACTAAAGTCGGCGTGATTTTGCTGTAAATTCCATTGATTGTTGTGAATAATGTTCAAATGATGTGTATTTAATTTTTGTGACACTAATCTAAGTGATTGAGATCAGATTTGTATAATGACTGACACTGGAGAGTTAGGACTAAAAAATATGTATAATATTGTTGCAGTCGGAAATATCTATATATATTTTGTTAAATCGCCAGAGAGAGAGAGAGAGAATATGGTTTAACTTAAGATTTACAATTCTTCCCTGCAACAGCAAATGTGTACTGTCTGAAACAACAACCACACCACGTATTTCTCAGTACTCCTGTGAAGCCGTGGGCTCTTTTCAATGTTATTTAAAGAGAGTTGAAGGTTTGCATTTTGTTCCTGTAAAACATTGACGTGTTTCGATTTTGTTCGAACAAAGTAAAAGTTGGTCGTGTTATATTTCCCGTGGAACAGATTTAGTCTGTGTGTTGTGTTCTTGTTCCTTCTTACTCATATCCTTTTCAATCTCCGGCCAGGTAACGAGCTTCCCTTTTGTGTTGCTCTCAGT